GCAGTGATTCACTTAATAACTGTGCCGAGAAAGGTCATAAAATGGGGCAACGTTCACATAACAACTATCTCATTTATGTCTGAAGAATAATTTGGGGTTCCAGCTCAAGCTGGGATTGCACAAGAATAAAAATAAGATCCAGACAGCTGTGAGGAAAGATGAAATATTTATTCCTAAAAGCAAAACAGTTTGCTTTTAAGGGCAGGCTGCTGAGAAATGGGGTACAGCAGCAATTTTTTTATAGGGGGACCTTGAAGTCTCTACGTGCTGATTCTAGGCCTAGAGTGACACTTGAGGATCATGTGTGAGTATATATCTGTGTTTATTCTTGGGTGACACTTGAGGAGTATATGTGTGCGTATGTGGGTTTATTCTCGTGAACATGCAGTTCCTCTGGGAGACCTAATTTAATTAACTGTGTTTCCAGACCTTTGATAGTGGATTAGCTCTGGGTAACTTATTTGGGGGTCTGAGGAAGTTTGAGCAAGGGATTTTCCCAGTTACTATTTTTACTTGATTAATTTATTTTCGGCTTGACTGTCAATTATCTAGGGGAGACACTGATTCTCAGACCATTGTGGATTTTGTTAATATTTTAAAGGAAGATGGAAACAGTATAAAAAGTAAAATATATTTTGATATAAAACTTCTCACATTTAACAATAGAAATTCTGGGCTCAATTGTGGTCATAAGTCAAGGACTACCTGTGCATATGGGGAGAAACCCTATGATACAGTTTACCGTAGTATTTTAAATGCTCAGGTAAATTTGTATTGCTCCTTTGAGGCAGCAAAGCTAATCTGTTAAAATATAATGCCAAGAGTTATTTCAGTGTTTTGGGTTTTCCCCAAAATTCTTGATTACTGGGCAATTAACTTCGATGGAAAGAAAGCAGGAGGGTTCAAGAAGAAAAACAGAGAATAAACATTAAACATTAAAATGAACAGTATATTCCCACTAGGCCAGCGGTTCTCAACCTATGGGTCGCGACCCCATTTGGGGTCGATCGACCATTTCTCGGGGGTCGCCAAACAAGGCGATCCGCCATTTTTCCCCCTTGGGGGGCGACGCCGCGCATTTGCGCCGCGCATGCGCGGCACGTTTGTGTGACGGGGGTCACCGTCACACAAACGTTGAGAAGCACTGCACTAGGCTCTTGGTTTTATATTGTATATCTGTCTCAAAGGCAAAAACATAGCACTGTTCTTTTTTCTCCTTTCCTATTAATATTTTAAAATATGAGAACAGACCATGCATTGAAAGAGAAAAAGGGGAAAGCATATTAATTCTTGGGAGAGCTGAGCAGGAGTAGGTTTCAAATAAATGGTGCCCCAATGTAAAAATATTTCTTTTCAAAGAGTTATTTAAACTCAGACAGCGCATCTCTACCAATGTAACATATTGCTCAAGTTCATTAGTTCAGTAAAATTTAATATGCAATAACTCTGGGGCTGCCCTAATTTGAATAACCGCCGGAAGGCCATAATTTATTTGTAGCCCAACTAGTACAGGTAATCCTCGACTTATAACAATTCATTTAGCATCCCTATGATTATGTGATCAAAAGTCAAATGCTTGGCAACTTTTATTTATGACGGTTTTAGTGATGTCGGGAAAGATGAAAGGCAAAAGGAGAAGGGGATGGCAGAGGATGAGACGGTTAGTGTCATTGACACAGTGGGGCATGAGTTTGGTCAGATTCAGGGAGACAGTGGGGGGAGGGCTGGTATGCTATGGTCCACGGGGCCACAAAGAGTTGGATACGACTTAGCAACTGAACACTACCACCAAATGTTTAGACAAAAACTACAAAGATCTGGAATACACAGAATACATATAGCCAAAAACCAATTTAGCACACCGATTTAGCACAATGTCTTGGTACCAAAGTTTTCAAGGATGTAGAGAAATTTTAGGGCAATGGTGGCGAACCTATGGCACAGGTGCCAGAGGCGGCACTCAGAGCCCTCTCTGTGGGCACACATGCCATTGCCCCAGGATTGCCTCCGCTCGTGACCCCCTCCTCACCAGCAGCCTCCTTGCAGGAGAGTTGCCCCTGAGCGTGGCCCACATGGAGCAGCGCAGCCAAGAACATGGCAGCCAGGCAGCGTAGACAAGACTCTGCCCTCACGCCCCAACGCACAGTCGATGCTGCGGGGCCTGGGCAGAGGGTGTGGCCACCATGGTGCTGCTGGGCTGCCTGGTCGATCTGTGGCGGGCTCTGGAGGCGGTGAGTGGCCCTGCGGGCAGGCAGGGTGGGGCGGAGCGGGGGCAGGGCAGGGGCGGGGCAGGGACGGGGCCAGGGCAGGGGCGGGGCAGGGCCAGTTTCTGGGCACTCAGTCTCTAAAAGGTTCGCCATCACTGTTTTAGAGATTCAAACATCATCGTTTTCTCAACTGAGACTTTTCACAGCAAATTTATTGCTTTAAGTGTATGGAAAAGATTGTTTTGTTTTGTTTTTTTTTTTTAAAAAAAAAACACCCTATCTTCTAGGACAGTGGTTCTCAACCTGTGGGTCGGGACCCCATTTGGGGTCGAACGACCATTTCACAGGGGTCGCCAAACAAGGCTGTCCGCCATTTTTTCACCCTTTTCTTTGGCCACGCCCCTGGCATCCGGTGATGTATAAGTGGTTGGGGGTCACCACAACATGGGGAACTGTATTATGGGGTCGCGGCATTAGAAAGGTTGAGAACCACTGTTCCAGGATGAAAAGTCTGAGAAAATTGTACTTTTCTTCAAATGTCTTGCCCAGACAAGGTGAAAGTTAGACTGCCAAGCCACACAACATACTAAAGCAAAAGATTAGCCATCCTCACCTTAGTTTAACAAAAGTTGAGCAAGCACCCCCAGCTTATATAGTTGTTAAACAGTTTGTGTCCTGTGCAAACTCAGAAACTAGGGATTACATTAAGAAAGCCATAGTTAATGGTTTAGTCTCTAGCTCATCATGGCTAAGAATGCTGCATAAATTTTAGCCAAGGATCTCATGGTGAATCTTAATTGTTTCCTTTCTCTAGAGTAAGTAGTGTTTCTCAAACTAATGGTGGACTTCAATTCCTGAAATTTTAGGAGTTGAAATTAACCCATCTTAAAGTGCCTGAGGTTGAGAAGGACAAGCCAGAACTTAAGAAGCTAATAATAATAATAATAATAATAATAATAATAATAATAATAGTAGTAGTAGTAGTAGTAGTAGTAGTAGTAGTAATAGTAGTAGCAGTAGTAGTAAAGTTGGAAGGGACCTTGGATGTCATCTAGTCCAACCCACTGCTCAGGCAGGAAACCCTATACCATTTCGGACAAATGGCTGTCCAGTCTCTTCTTAAAAACTTCCAATGTTGGAGCATTTACCGCTTGTGGAGGCAGGTTGTTCCACTGATTAATTGTTCTCACTGTTAGGAAGTTTCTCCTTAGTTCTAGGTTGCTTCTCTCCTTGATTAGTTTCCACCCGTTGCTTCTTGTTCTGCCTTTAGGCGCTTTGGAGAATAGCTTGATTCCCTCTTCTTTGTGGCAGCCCCTGAGATATTGGAATATTGCTATCATGTCCCCCCTCCTCCTTCTCTTTGTTAAACTAGACATACTTAATTCCAGCAACCGTTCCTTATTTGTTCTTGAATGAGAAGCGAAATGTCTTTAAGGAAAAAAACCAAAAAAGTCCAGTCACCTTTTTAAAAGCACCTTTGGGGCAACCATGATCTGGATGATTGAGAATCTGCACAGACATTACCCTAGAAAGTATTCTACAAATCATGACTACGATGTAGTTTACCTAAATGTAGGCTTACCACGGTATTCAGGGAGCAAATACACGTGGTTGCTAAGAGTCGGAAAATACTTGGTGGCACAATCTTGCGGAAAATACTTGGTGGCACAATCTTGCTGCATGCGAACCCGATTAAGAACAGAAACCTAGATTCACACAACTGCATGCAACTGGTCAGATTTATATTCTCTCACGGATCCAGAAAGGACTGCAGATCTGAACATCACATGGGGGCTTATCCAGCTTGCGGTCCAATATTCTGGGAATCCTGGCATGCGAGTCAAGGCGTTAAATGAAGCCATCACAGGCTTCATTTGCACGCAGCCAACTCTTGGTTCCCCCATCGGGGTTTACAGATTCGCCAGGGGAGTGACTCGCCCATCTTCCTCTAACATCCAAATCCACCCTCGACGGTCTATGACATACGGGTCGAGACACCGCGCCGGCCTTTCCGGTTGAGGGGCATTCCAGATGTGCCGGACTACAACCCCCATCACTCTCCCCACCCCATCCCGCAGAGGCTGGAAATAAGGCGGGCTGCGAAGTAGCGAGCCGGGCTGGGATGCAAACGAGGCGCTCTCCGTCTAGCCAATCAGCGCCCTCCGAAGCCGCCCAGAATAAAAGCTGAATGAAGCCCTCCGGCGCGCGGAACCAGCGTCAATTCCCCGGGTTTAACGGGACTGGGGAGGGGGGCGCTTGACTTTGCAGTGGAGGCCAACGGGCCAACTTAAATGGCCGGGGAGGCTCGGCTGGAAGACCCAGGAGACGCCGGACAGAGGTCAGCAGCTCGAGGTTTAACTTCTGGGCTGGACGCGAGCGGGGATGGGCGTTTGCAAGGATGGGGAGGCGAAGCACGTCGGAAGGTGAAGATACTGTCCAACTCCGGCAAAGAAGAAAGCTTCCGCCAAGCTCTCTTCTCTTTTATCCAAGAAAAAGTTCCTTTCCCCTTGCCGGCTTCGGCTACTTCGAGGCCGTAAAAGTTGTTTTGACCCGTCGTGAGGAAGCGGATCCCTGGTTTTGCAGCGCGCCGATCTGTCGGGGTCCCGGACTCCCCCTAAGAGTTCCCCCTTCCAGGTGCTTTCCCCCCCCCCCCATTGTCTCTCTGTCAAAAGCCCAGCCGCCTCTCCGCCAGTACCCCCGTCTGGAGCAGAGAGGCTTTTCACGGCCCATAAGCCGCCGCCTCCGTTATCGCCCTCCCTGGCGATTCCCCAGAGAGATTCCTTCCTGCAGAACGAGCTAAGCCAGCTTCGCTTGGGCGTTTGCCGCCGGCAGAATTGCAACACCGCTTTTTGCCTCTGAAGCCGGGCGCCCGTTTTTTGGAGTTGCATTCGGCCGATTCCCAAGGGCTCCCCTGCATTCCTTCCCCGTATAAAGGCTGTATAATGGGGGCGGGAGAGGTGACCCGCGGAAGGTGAGCCCCCGTTTTCCCCTCCCTCCCCCCCCCCCCATCGAACTGAAGCCGCGAGCGCGCCTCCAGTGACTTGGCTCTCCGTCAGCTAGGGTTACTCCCGGGTAAGTCTGAACGCGTGCCGATCAGAACGTCTCGATTTTATTTTTATTTTATTTTTCTGCTGCGTTTCTTTCTTCCAGGACTTTACTTCCTTGCCTAGTTTTCTCCTCCTTTCTACATTCTTTTTTTTTTTTTCCCCTTCCCGAATTTTCTCAATATGCCGATTGTTGCGCGCGCTCTTTCCCTTGCAAATCGCAAAGGGATTAGTACTGCTTTATGAAACCCCAGTAAGACCACACCTGGAATACTGCAACCAATTTTAGTCACCCTACTTAAAAAAAAAAAAAGATGTTGAAACCTTGGAAAAAGTTCAGAGAAGAGCAACTAAAATGATCAAAGGCCTGGAGACTAAAACATACAAAGACTTGGGTTTGGCTAGTCTAAAGGAGAGAAGAAACAGGGGCGACATGATAGCAGTATTCCAGTATTTGAGGGGCTGCCACAAAGAAGAGGGGGTCAACCTATTCTCCAAAGCTCCAGAGGGCAGGACAAGAAAAAATGGTAACTGAGCAAGCAACCTGGAATTAAGGAGAAACTTTCTAACAGCGAGGACAATTAATTAATGGAATAGCTGGCCTCCAGAAACCATGGGCGCTCCATCATTGGAGATTTTTAAGAAGAGACCACTAGACAGTCACTTGTCTGACTGTCAGGGGTGTCAAACTCAATTTCATTGAGGGCCACATCAGCATGGCGGTTGCCCTGGGGGGGCAGGGTGGGTGCGGTCTACTGGGTGGACGTGGATGGAGTGGGTGTGGCCTACTGGGTGGGCATGGCCAGCTCTACATCGTTCACGTCAAGGGTGCCTGTGGGGGCCTGGTCAGGAATGGGACAGATCTGAGGGTCTCTGGCAGAAGGGGCTGGGACTGGGGCAAGTGCCAAGGCATGGTGCATTTCTTCATTCCTCACAAAGGGTGACACCTCCCCAGCATGCACCCAGGGGGCGGGGCCAATATGGCAGGGGCTGGTTCCTCGTTGTTTCTAGATGGCCTTGTGGAGCTAAGACTGAATGTGTTTCAGCATAGATGGCCACCATAAAATTGTACACTGGCTCCCAGCCGGCCTGGGCCAGGGCCAAGGCAACGGGGGCCATCGCCTCACTGTTTCCAGGATAGCTTTGCACATGAAACCACTTCGTGGGCCGCATCCGGTCTCCGGGCCTTGTGTTTGACATGTCTAGTATAGGTTCTCCTGCTCGAGCAGGGGGCTGGACTAGAAGACCTCCAAGGTCCCTTCCAGCTCTATTCTATTCAGTATTCAATAATAATATTTTCAATGTGCTGCTTAGACCTTTGTGTATCCAAGTTCATGCTCAGTGTTTATCCTTAACAGATAAACACTATTTTATTTCCCTTCAACACATTCAAATGGAGCCTACCACCTACTTGGCAATTTGTTTCACTGAAAGTCCTTGTTTAGAATAAAACGACAAGCATATTTTAAACCAACTTGATTTGTTAACTACTGCCTTACTTTTAGTTCTTAGGTAGTACTCAGGAAACTCATGGTAAAAAAGTATATTTCTGCAAGATTAACCTTCTCTTAGGAAATAAAGCTGTGTAGCAGCTGTCCTATCTTTCAGGATAATATACAGGCAGTCCTCAACTTATGGCCACAACTGGGACTGAAATCTTGGTCGTTGAGCAAAGTGATTGTTAAATGAGACACCCAATAACCACAATCCCAGCACTCCTGGTTGCAGTCATTAAGCAATCACCGGGTTGTCAACACTGCAAATATTGTATATTCTTGCTTTGACAATATGCAGAACTGTCTGGTATTTTGGGGGTTAATACAGAGCAGAAGGGGGGGTGGCGGGGTAAAGCCCGGGAGAGAAAGAGGAAGGATACCTTTGACCTTCACACTAATTGGATAATGTGATATATGACAGCTAATTTAGGGAGGGAACATGCTGATAATTTAACTGCTCAGAGGAACTTAGATCTTAGCAAAAAGCCTCCGTTATGCCTGTGCCCACATTTTGTAACAATAAATGACTTTTAGGAAAATCAATGCCTGGAAGTTCTTTGAAGTGTTTCATTAGCCGGAACCATAGCACGGGTATTAAATCGACACTCTCCCCCAACTTCAGGTAGTCCTTGACTTACAATTCATTTAGTGACCATTTGAAGTTACAACAGCACTGAAAAAAGTGACTGATGACCATTTTTCACACTTAGGACCGTTGCAGCATCTCCATGGTCACATGATTTACATTCGGATGCTTGATGATTCACATTTATGACGATTGCAGTGTCGTGGGGCCACTTGATCCTCTTTTGCAACATTCTGACAACCAAACTCAGTAGGGGAGTCAGATTACTAATTTACTAATTTAAGAACTGCAGTGACTCACTTAACAAACGTGGTGAGAAAAGTTGCAAAATGGGGCAAAACTCACATGTCTCGATGACCAGGACTTAGGGGACAGTATCAATTGTGAATACATACAGATGGCTCCTTTCTCTTTGGTCACTTGTAGTACTGGATGCAGGGTCATGAAAGGACAGCAAGGACACCCAATGTCCTAATCCAGGGCTTTTCAACCAGTGGTACGGGTACCACCTGTGGTACATTGGCACCTGGCAGATGGTACGCGACCATCCTAGAAAAGTGGTAGCAGGGGAGGAGAATGAGCTGAACCAGTGACAGCACCGCACAAACCTGAGCGAGATGGCTGGAGCTGCAGGGCTGTCAGGGCTCAGCAGAAGCGCCAGGATCAGCACCAGGCTCCAGCTGGAGCTTGGCGCTGATCCTGGTGCTTCCGCTGAGCCAAGAAGAATGCGCCAGAATCAGCTGGAATGTTGCAGCCTCTCTAGGGTCTTGTGATTTACATTCAGATGCTTGGTAACTGATTCATATTTATGACGGTCACAGTGTCCCAGGGTCATGTGAAGTGACCAAAACCTGCTGCAACCACCCAGCAGACAGGGGGAATAAAAACCAAACACCCCCCACCCCACCCCCGCTGCCAATCCTCAACAGAAATGCTCACAACAATGAAAACCTCGGACAGAAGGAAGAGCGCCACTGGGTGGGCAGGCAGGCAGGTGTGAAGTTACATGTGAAGTTACAGTGCCATTGTAACTTCAGACAGTCACTAAGCGAACTGTTGTAAGTCGAGGACTACCTGTACTTTATCACTTTTTTCCTTTTTTTTTTTTGGTCATCAAGTTTTTGACACCTTGCTGGGTGACTGGTGGCACTCGGATATTGCCATATCCTAAAAGTGGTAGAATGGGTATAAAGGTTGAAAAGCCTTGTCCTAACCCACCCGAGAACATATGTTATCTTTAGGGAAAGACCGAAAAGTGAACATGTTTAGCTACTTCTGCTTTCTCCCTTCCTGTGTACAGTGTGCCAGACTTACTGGGTGAAATCTTTATCTTATGTGTGTCAGCTTAGCTGGATGGCTTGCTAATGTAATTAGAAAGAATAAATACAAGGATTTCCTGTCATTCGTTGCTCCTCTCGTTCAGAGGGGTCCATCTCTATTCAGCTGAATAAAAACATAAAGCTTGAAGGCAGCTTCTGGTTCCCTGCATTTCTTTATCAAGCAAAACCTCAGAACCTGCATATCAGTCTCACTTAGCAACATAAAATTTGGACTCAGTTGTGATCGTAAGTTGAGCACTACCTGCATGCTCTTTTGGCCACCCTGAATAGGTGACTAACAAGCAAGTATTGGAGTGCATTACAGCAGACATGTCATTAGAAGACAAATCACAAAACTGCGTCTCACTTACTTTGGTCACGTCACACAGGGAAATTCATTGGAGAAAGCCATTATGTTGGGAAGAGTTAGCGGTAAAAGGAAACCAGGCTGCCAAAGAACACAGTGACCGGACACCATCAAAGCTGACACCAGCCAGAGCACAGAATAACTCAGAAGAAATAGGGCAAGACCGGAAGGTGTGGAGACACCTGGCCCACAGAATCAAGAGTCTGATACGACTGAATGGATAACATCATCATCATGACAGCAAGACTCCTGCTTTCTCCCAAGTTGTGTGTCCTATTCTTTCAAGATCTGGGAAAGACCAATTTCTACTGGGATCTTGCAGAAGATAAGGGAGGGCTGCTTGAGAAGATAAGGGAAGCTCAGATGCAGAGGAAAAGAAACACCCACTGTCGAACGCTAAGGAAGGCTTGCTTGTAGAGCAGTGGTTCAAAAGCCAATAGAATAAAAGGGAGTAGCACAGCTAAGGAAAAGGGGGAAAAAATGGCGGACTGCGTTGTTTGGCGACCCCCGTGAAATGGTCGTTCGACCCCAAATGGGGTCCCGACCCACAGGTTGAGAACCATTGTTGTAGAGGGAAAGGGACACCAATTTGGAAAACAGCTCCAGGTATTGGAGACCACCTGGGCGATGAGGAGCAATTGGGGATGCCACTGCTGAGTGCTGCCGTCCAGACCAGTCTGGATAGGTGAGGAGATAGGTGGGAGAGTTGACCGCCACCACGATTGTAAGGACAGGTGTACAGCCACATGCTTGAATTTTACCTCATGACTGTCGTGGCACTGCAATAGCCATAACTCCAGGTAGGGATCATAGGCCCCTTTGTTCAGGCCATAGTAATTTCGTAAACTGAAGGCTATTTGTAGAACCAAACAGTGTTAAGTAAATGTTCAACTGCCAGTGCACGTAAGTTCTGTAGCTAGAACAAGGGGATGCTAAGGAAAAACTTCTTCAAAAAGATCCAGGATACAAGGAAGATAAATGAGTTAATATATATATGTTAATAGGTAACCACAAAGCAGACTGATCAGCCTCACTCAGTCCTGTCTGAGAAACAATATGTGTTCTATCAGCCAACTGAAGAACAGGGTAAAGGGACAAGATTGTCTTTACTTGAATGAATTTAAATCTCCTGGGCCAGATGAATTGAATCCCATAGTATTGAAGTTACTAATTAATGGTCTGATTGAGGCTTTATTTTGAGGAATCTAGGAGGATAGATAATTGATAAACAAATGAAGAATGTATATAGTTCCTACCTTC